GTCTATTGAACGCATTGCATCAATGATTCACGATGGGATACCTTTGAAAGGTTTGGCGGAATTTGACACGTGGGAACATTATTGTCTCTCGGACCTGAGATGGGCCTGCGAGAGAGCAGGAAAGGGCTTATGTCTATTGAAAGCAACAGACACGATTTCTTTGCAGAGGAGTAGGAGCAGTTCATGCCTCGTCTCTTTTCATGATTCTCGTATTTTTACACCATGCACTGCGGTGGCGCAACGCACCACGACTTCAAAAAGAGTCAACTTATCTCGCCTCCTCAGGCGGCGATTGGGCGCAAAGCGGGGACATGGGTTTTTAAAGTAATTCTTACAGCACATAAACCAATTTTTTCTCGCAGATAGATGAGGGAGAGAGAATTATTTCTGAAATACTTGAAGAACATTCCAACAAAGTAAGAAACAGTGTACAATTTTCGCTTTTATTTTAACCTCTGCTTTTTCTTCACGCATCATGCAAGAAAGCTTGGGGTAAAGAAGAATTTTCACCTTCATATCCTAGCACATGTCGCAAGCAAAATTCCTGGTATAGCTTTTTATTAGTAGAACTATGTGGGAACGGTCCGCAATTTAGGTCATATCGAAGACCAACGCTCAAATGCTCTTCCGATTCAACCTCTTCGCTTTTCAGCAGTTTATCAAAGCGGAAGGAATTTGGGGATCATCTCCTGCCTAGGCAATAAAGAAAGCCCGGTGGTTTTTCAAATTTTACTTCTGTAAGAGTGGTCACTTTCGAGATTGGTAGCATCGATCCCCATTGTGAGACGTCTCCTCGTTCTCTGAAGGTTGTCCACAGATACTTCTAAGTGCACAAGGGGCGGATCGGACGCGTTGTTGGATGTGGTGTATGTCATTGTTGTGTATTGTGAAAGTTTCGCATTTCGATCGATAGGTATCCAAAAGCAAACATGCCAAAGGAAAAACTCGATTGCAAGGACTTTTCTGTCGGAAGTATCAGTGGACTTTTGCTAATTAATGCGTTAAGACCAACAAAAAAGAAGGCCACTCCAGGCTGCGGGGCCCGATATGGTGAAATATTTAGTGTACAATTTGAAATATATTTCGAAGCAGCAATGCAGCTTCCTCTTTGTCTTACCTTGTCCTCCCTTTCCTGACTATCCCCACACGCGAGACTTACGAGGCGGCCGTGACTGATACATGCACACAAGCCTCCTCCCACGCTCCCTCCCAAAAACGCTTCCTCCACCCTATATCTCGCTATCATCCTCACAGAATGAAGCTGCCCTGTCTTGCGCCCGTCTTTCAAGGCGAGCGACGTCCTCCTTCCCTCTCCTCCCCTCCCCTCCCTCTTCCCTCCAATCCCATCATGCCCCTGAAGTCCTCTACCGTCCTCACTCCCTTCCTTCCTTGCCCTCTCGCTCTCCTCTCGCCTCTGTTCTCCCAAGACGCATGCCCCAGCCTTCCGTTCTCTGAGCTCTTCCTTCCGCCTGT